AGCATTAACAGCTTGTATTAGTTTATGAACACATGATTGTTTAAATACCCGATAATACTATCAAACATTAAACATGTAGAGTTCAAGTGAGTAGAGGCTAAATATAATTATCAGGGAAACATTCAAGCTTGCTGAGTCATGCTTCATCTGCATTTTATTGTTGGACTACATTCTGAGCATAAACTGAGTCAAAAGGATTCTAAACACGAAGCCTTCATAGCATGCATATGCAGCATTTTACAAAGACAATGTAACGGTGCACATTGATACAATACATTTAAATGTATTTAGTACAAGATCTGTGGCTGATGCGGTTCAGAGCTTGTGGTTTGATCCTTTGCTCCTCCTGTACACATGTAAGAGTGTCCTTCAGCGATGACACTGAACTCTGAATGGCACCAGATAGTGGAGGTGTGTCCTTGGAAGCAAAAAGCACTATGTTATTGCCATTTCATATTGGTAGTGTCTAAAATTGGTAAATGTCTAAAGTCCTGTCCATGTAATTTTCGGACTCTGTAATATTGACAGAGGGTTTTTCAATCTCCTGCAGAATCCAAAGGTTTTCTGTACTGGATCGCATATAACCATGTTTGCCTTCTCTCACTGCAACTTTCAGCAGGAAACTGCTTTGTTTACCTACATGATGAGTAGCAGTTGGAGAAATGTAATATAGTTTAAGGAAAACAGCCTGTGCTCTTGAATTTAGGCTTCTCAAGAAGTAGTCGTATTCACTGTAGAACTACAGTCACATAAGACGTTTCTTTGTGGGATTTTTTGGGGGAACAGAAACGTTTTTTTCCTACATTCCACTGGAGTTCTGTTTAATCTTTAAATCATGATTTAAACCTTGCCAGTAAGGCTAAATTATTTTTGAACTTCCTGTTGTTTAGGGTAAACGTGGTGTATATCGACCGCTCTGGCCGGAGGGTCCCAGTTAAGGCCAAGGTGGGAGATAACGTCATGTATCTCGCTCAGAGGCATGGAATTGAATTGGAAGGTGAGAATATATATGGTCAAAGCTAAATAATTATTTAATGCATGGTTTGAGGATATTATTACACATTATTTTTGTTTCTCTTTCTTTCAGGATCCTGCGAGGCCTCTCTGGCCTGCTCAACATGTCACGTCTATGTAAATGATACTCATTTTGACAAACTGCCAGAACCCGACGAGAGGTAGTTCTTCTCCAAATGATAACTTTCTGAACCACACATTTTGAATTTTAACAAATGTATGTGATGAGGTTAAAACGAGATCGCTGTAAATATTGACATATCTCTTTGTGCTCTAGGGAAGATGACATGCTGGACATGGCACCCTTGCTTCAGGAGAACTCCCGATTAGGGTGCCAGATCATTCTCACTCATGAGCTTGAGGGCATAGAGCTCACCTTGCCCAAAGTCACCAGGAACTTTTACGTGGACGGCCATGTTCCCAAACCTCATTGAGAAGGGGAGCAGATGACTAGAGCTGGAGAAAATTGGAGGGTGGCACTGCAAGCTATACACCATGTGTGTTCGTTGAGTGAGGGGGCACCCATAAAGAGATGCACGGCTTGGATAGTAAAGTCCGTAGCAACTGCTGAGAGCTCTTGCAGACTGACAAATTCCACAGTTAACCAATGACATTACAGGCCTGCAGATGACATCCTTATAGTCAGACTCTACAAGTCTCTCTGAAGGGGAAATTAATGGTTACTTCCCAAAAAAAACTGTGATAGTTTAACTGACTATATATTTATTAACATGGGTTGTTGTTCTCAGGCCAGTATCGAGACACCATTACATCTTGCAAACTGTTCTTTGTTAAAAACAATTTCGGAGAGATTTTATTTAACAGAGTACTTGCTGTTTAATGGAACATTCCTTGTTACAGCTCATATACGCACAAGTATGACACGATGATGTTCTTAGTCATTTCTGTAGGTCCATCATTGTCACACTGTTTCACTTGTCAGATATGGTATGCAAAGCATTACTTTTAATATTTTCATCTTGTACCAAGTTGTGTAGGTGTTTTGATAGCTTATCAGTAACTACCCGCTGAATTTAGCTCCCCCGAAGTCAAACATCATGTTTTCTTCTGCATGGTACTGAAGCCAGACATAGAAGTATAAGCCATATTGTCTAATGCAGTGTATTTCAAATAAAAAAAGACCTGCCGCTTAAGAGTTAGACAATTGAAACTTACATAGCATTCAGTATAACAGCAAAACAATCAGGCTTTAAAGATCTCCTGGTAAATGCATCTCAAAGCACTTCCCCAGGTGCAAATAATTAAGGTTTGATTAGTTGATCTGGTTCAGCTGTGCATTTTACCGAGCAGCATGAAGGTTGAGATGACTTTTGATGCATGGGCGCTTCATGTTACCATGGATTGAGTTTTCTACATCTACATTTTGTCTTGTTACGTCTACTGTACTTGTCCTTACGCACAGAAGTCAACTGTGTATCAAATATTTAAAGTTGTGCAATAAAACGTTCTTAAAAGGTTATTTTTGAATACTGCCATCATTACCAAGCAGCCTCTGACACTTACTACCAGGACTCAAAGGGGACAAACCAGACTTGCCAACCTTGAGACCTCAGAAATCGGGAGCATTTAAAAAATAAATAAAGTCAGAGTGGAAACAGTCGTGTGTAAATCTGATTTTGTCAGAAATCGGGAGAAATATGACCCGAGAGGAAACCGGGAGAGGGCTATGAAATCGGGAGCGTTGTCAAGTATGAGACAAACATATATCACTTTTGATTATTTTAGCCAAACTTAAATAAACAAATGTAGTTCACTGCATTATTAGCAGGCTGTCATTGATGGTAAAATCTCCACCTTGACCCAGAAAACATCTGAACAGGCATTTATGTTGATGTGTGCAGCAGCTGCAAACTGAAACTGTTGGGCAACACTTTTATTACTCAGCAGGTGTAATCTAACAAACCCAAAACACCTGTGTAACTCCTCCTATGGTCCAAAAAAACAACCCAGTCATAGCAACCAGCTCCAGCGATTTGAATTCCCAGTAAATTGGCACACTTCATCATTTATTTGATAATCGATTTGGAGATCTAAGGTGAGCATTAGCTGAAGATCCCAGGTGGACTGTAGCGTACTGGACTGTTTCAATTTGATTTGGTCCACATTTGTGAACAGTTATCTTAAGGCCCTAATGTTATACGTGGTTAGCCATAGAAGCCATGACATGTCACAAATAAGGAAGGATCGAAAAACTTAATTTTAGAGTGAATACAGGATCAGATGAAAGAGCGATCATTGATCTTACAGAGTGTCGTTAGAGTAGATCTACAAACTAGCCTATGAGCAACTGTAGAGTAAATACATATCTTATGTCGTTTTTCCTAATTGTTGTTGTTGTCCCAAACATTGAGGCCTAAGTGAAGACACAGCCTTTCGATGCAAATATGAGAGAATTAAGAAAATGACATCACTAATACTTGAAGTGATTCGCTGTAGCTATTTCTTTAAATCTGGAATGTATAAGATATCGATCTGTCTGGCTTCTGCGCTCGTGACATTCGAACGCCGCAAAAAGCGCGAAAATATTTGACATTCTAGAACGCAAAGCATACATTTTGTGTTCTATAACTCTTTTAAACGACAGGAAAAGTTCGACGTTTTGCAACATTCCTTCCGGTAAGTTAAATAGGCCTACGTTATATTTAGATTTTTTTTAAGGCTCTTTGTTGATACAGGCGGGTTCATGTAATTTACATTGTCAATGACAGCTCTGTATTGTTAGGCTGTTACATAAAACAATAATGACACTAGCTGAATATTAGCCCATCTTTTATATTTTAATGTCGGCCTATAGTTCAAACCCTTTCAAGAAAAATATTCTAAAGTTCATATTTTCTTTAGTCTAACTGTCCAATCTATGTCACAGTTGGGAAACAAAGAATGTTAAACACTCCAATTGCCCTATATGTGTTTACTGTGTTTTTGAATACACCGTTAGCTTGTGTAGCAATACATTTTAGCAGCTACAGGTTTAGACATAAATATAGCCCAGTTAACGTAATGTTGTGCAAATCCTTTATATTTCATTTAGCCTCTAAACTAGTGGTCCCCATTTTTTAATTGTGAAGTCTAAATATGAAGCAATTATTAATGTCCACCTCTACTGAAAATAAACAAAATATTGTATAGCAAGCTGTGTATGTAGCGAGCTGAAGGTTTGATTGTGAAGTACTGATCTAAAAGTTGTGTTTTTATAATTGACAGACACTTTCTCAACATGAGCACAAGACCAAGGACACAAGCTGCCTTCATCCAGGGAAACCAGAGTGCAATTGAACATGAGGGCTCCCACTCAGCACTTGTCTACCTTTTCCAAGAAGTTTCAAAGCTAGCATCCCCCATCCACAACAGTTTCCTGGACATCAATCCACCCTCCATGTGGCTACATGAGACTTCTAGTCAAGATTCTTTTCAAGTTAAAAATGAAGAAGAGGATGCACCTTCTTTTCAAATCTCTAATAGTCCCTGCCAGCACAATTTGTCTTGCATGTCGTCCTATAATCAGGTGAAAAAAGTGAAGGAGGAAAGTCACAGCAACAATGTCACAACTTTGGTTGAGCCACATCTGAAATGCAGCAGCCCTTGGAAAGTACTGAGCCTAATCAATCTGCAGTGTGAGAGGCTTCTGCATGTAAAAGATGCGGATGCGTCAGACCCAAAATCAGTACAATGTAACCCAAAATTGGGCCATTCAATAGACAGATCGTCGACTGCAGCACCAGATGTAGCAGATCTGGGAATCAGAGGTGACTGTGTAAGTGTGGAATGCACTTTGAGACCATCTCTTCTAATCTACGGGAGACAAGAAATCCCACAGGGCTGTGTGAAAGACTCCAAGGTGGGCTGCTGTCTCCAGTCACAGATTGCTGAAAAAGCAGACCCTTTTTCAGTGTTCAGTGTTAACAGAAATGTTGAAACAAACCAGCATTGTTTCTCTTCTGAAAACAATCATTTGCGTGAGCCCTTCTCTGATCCCTATGCATGCCTAAATGCCCAGACAACTTTTAATTCAAATGAAGATGCAAGTGTGGCTATGTCAAAGCGAGCGCTAACACTAGACCACAATGCAAACCTTGCTTTGTCTCTAGAGCCCCTATGTGACACCCAGCTGTCACCTCTGAGCTCCATCATGCCTTCTTCACAATCAGCATCACTTTTATTTAGCAATGCAGATAAATGTCAGTCATGTGCAAAGCAAGATGACAAAATCACAGCATTTAAACCAGAACATACAAATGCTAACTTAGAGGGGAAATGCCCTCCGGTTGCACAACTACAAACCTCAAGTTTGAATGGAGAAACAAACTCCTCACATTCTGCAACATTAAAACTAGAAGCCAGGTCTGTGCAAAAGGAGGAAAGTGCTGCTCCATCTGCCCAGCAGAGGAGAACCAAGACTCTGAGAAAACAACTGCATCCCAGGAGAAGTGCTAACATACAAGACCCAGACTTCCAGGGAGTGACGTTCAGGATGGACACAGAGCTGGACGACAACGGGGAACAAAGTCGGCTCCTCATCACTTCAATGTACAGGTAGTGTGAAATTCGTTACATGTTTGCAATGGCTTTTACAAAACATTGATGACAAAGTTTAGTCAAACCCTTTGATATTTATGTATTTGTTTTTGCTGCAGTAAGGAGCTCCGCAAGAGTGTGAGAAAACGGAGGCTGAGGACACGGACGTCACAGATATCCCTTAAAACCAGCAGCTCTGATGAGGAGAGTTCCTGGATGACCAGTGTTTCCAGTGAGTAACACTCGAGTGCCTCCACTAATGTCAGTTTATGCCGCAAAGATGTGGAGCTCCTGCAATCTTTAATTTAGTTATCTCATTATAAATTAGATCATGTAAAGTCAATTGTATTTAACGTCCTAAATAACACGTTTGTCTCTGAAGACTTTTACATCTGTAGAACATATGACCCTCTCCATCTTCAGACCCTTGGTTTAGCATCCAGAAACACACAACAAGTTTGTATGTATTTGCACTAAATTCCTATTTTCTCCACTAGATGACGCCAACGCATCAAATCTAGACTTTGCAGCATTCCTCAGGAAAAGCATCCTAATACCATTTACCAGAATATACCAGTTATTTTCAGTATAACTTTTTTCTAAAATTGAGTTTTTATTTTAAGCAAACAATTGGTTCTAACCACAAGCACTTCCCTTTTTTTTTTACACACTCAATTAAAAAGTACTGTACAATAACTAAAGAGAGGTTTTCCTTCTGTTTCACCAGAGGGGAAAGTATGTGCGTCGTGCTGCACCAAGAAGACCCCGATGTGGAGGGACGCAGAGGACGGGACCCCACTCTGCAATGCCTGTGGAATAAGGTATCTCATATCAACACTGATATGTATGTCACATCAACATGTACTAGTCATGAATTTTAAGCGGACATTAAGACATATAACTTTTCTACAGTATAACTTTTTTTGGATTGGCTTAACATTGAGGTCCATAATGAAATAGTACATGAAGATTCATTGTTTTTGTTATTATCACGAAAAAACAATAGGATCCAATAGGGCTGCTCAATTAATCGTAGTTTAATCGCGATTACGATTATGGCTTGCAATGATTACGAAAACAACGTAATCGAAATAAAACGATTATTTTTGTATTATTATTACTTTTTTTTTTTTTTTTTTTTTTTTTTCAGTTGAATTATACTTAAAGTTCAGGGTAATCAACTGTTAAAAACATACTGTTCACATTTTTTTCTCCAATAAATGAATGTTTTCAAAGTCAATGAATAATCGCATTTAATAATCGCAATTACAATTATTGACCCAAACAATCGAGATTATGATTTTTGCCATAATCGAGCAGCCCTTGGATCCAAAGACTAATACCAAGATTAAGACCAGTTGACTTCATACCACAGTCTAAAGTTTTACTACTGCACTGTTTTGCAGTGGTACATTTGAAGGTTAATCCATTTAAAGTGTATGAACGGCATACATACTCTATGACGGCCATATTAATCGCTTAATATGAATATGTTGATTGGCTTGTTTACATCTAGCCTGCATAAATAAACACCACTTTGCATCTGTGTCACAGTGATCCTTGATTGACAATAAACTGGGACACATATACATGTCATAGATAAATGCCAACGAAGCAGAAAGTTTAATTTGGCTGTCATTTTCTTCTTCCCTCTTTAAGGTATAAGAAGTACAGAGTGCGCTGTGTCTACTGCTGGCATATCCCGAGGAAAGAGGGCAACTCCAACTCCTGCTGCCTCAAGTGTGGAAACTTTGTGAGGCTGACCACAGCTCAGCGCAAACAAAGCACCTAGGGAACAGTGTGACAAAGCTCTACACACATTTGCAGATTTGAACACTTTTGTCCACTACGATGAACTCCAGATGGGACTGCATGAGAGAGGAGCAGCACGCAGCGTCTTATGTGACCCCGTATTTCAATTAGTTTCACTGCTACAAGGTTGTACCTCAGGCAACAGAGACAATTCCCTTTGTGTCTATGGCTGCTCTAGACGTGCTGTATACAACAGTAAACTAATCTTGAGTCTAAACATTTTGAGGACATCCACACTTCAATCTTTACTTCACTGATCATAATGCTACCTTCTAACCTCGTTGTAGTGAGACACCATTTATTGTTGGGATTATTTTCCTCTACACAGGGTTACAGGGGGACAGTTTACTTTATCAATGTCGTTTTATTCCGGCCCTGAAGGGCTGCTATAAGAAGTGGACTCATTCAGTAGATAAGTCATAATTGTCAAACATTTAAATAACATAATAAAAAGCTTCAGTGTTTCTCGTTGGCTGTGCCAGATTGCTGAAGTAGAAAGTTATTTCTGTACAGGACCAAAAGCGGCAACTGTTGTGTTTACTGTCATCAACTGCAAAACAATTGATTTATTTTGACCTTCCCAGCTGACTTCTATGTTCAGTAGTTATACACTTTAAATGAAGGTCCTTATTTTCTTTGTCATCGTTTCTAAATATGCTTGTTTTTTCCTCTTTTGTTTGTTTGGGTTTTTGCCGGTTTTATTGATGCACTGAAAAAAAAGGGTTTTGGTATGTAATACATTTAGTATGAAACTTCCCATTTGTGTCCTGGTTCTTTGTAGGGATATTATATGGACTGCTCTTTGTATAAATCCCTGAAGAAAATGGCTGAGATTATAAAATAGTGGAATAGTTTCAGACGGATAGATATCATATTAAACTAGAGGTACAGGGAATAATTGTTCATTAACGAGACTTCCCACAGTTTCCTCAGCCCACCCTGCAGTGCAGGTCGTTTGCCAAGTGGGTGGTCTCTCATGGATTGATACAGTGCAGCTATTATTTCAAAACGCATTACGTCGTCCTCTTATTTGAAACAGCCAGTGTTGCCTCTGTGACCATGTGCCAAACCATATAGGAATGTTGCTATGAGCAACACCGAAGGAAATGAGCGCTGTGTAAGCCAACAACATAAAGATAGAAACGAGTTCTATAAAATGATTGTGCTTACTTTATATTAACCTTCAGCATATTTGAATGTTTACAATATCACCTGCTGTGGTAACTTCAACATCAACAGGAAACCCTGAATACAACACAATAAAACATCTAGATGGCAAACCAGATATGGACCAGCACATTTGAAATGCATTAAGTGTAAAGAGAGTATGTATGCAGCTGCACTGTTTTCAGTTATGAAAAGTAATTAAGGCCTTGTGTAACCGAGTGAAAATGTTGTATTTCTCATGCCGTCAAACTGTTAAATGGTCATAATAAAATTAAAAAAGTTGCTTTCAGAAGGCAATGTTTCCTTATTTATTGCAAACTAAGGAGTTGTGCTCGAAACGTCACATAGGTGCAATACAAGAGTGAACATTAGAGCCTAGTTATTTGTTTATTTCACGATTGCTTGCTTTCTGCTCAGCACCTACCCTCTTTGGTTTGGATCAAATCCTTGTTGAATGTTCAGGATAAGTCAATAGAGATCATTGTAACCACTCATGACTGTAATGATGGCTTGATGCACACCAGGACGTATGTAATGCTGGTGTGCATGTGTGTTGTTATTTCATGTGCAGATGAAATCTATTCTATGCTATCTCATATTTTAATCTGTGTGGTTTGGTTGTCACATGGCTGCAAGGTGCAAGACACATTTCCCACGTGGGATAATAAATCAAAGTTGTAATTAAACTGTATCAGAAAAAAAAAAAATCCAGAGCAGCATCTGATAATGCGTGTATAAAACGCCTTTGACATCTTTGTGATCCAAGTATAATCATTGTAATTGTCAGAGTACAATATTCATTAGCCAAAGTATGATTTAGTTAAAACCAAAGACTGTAGTATTATTTAGTTAAAACCGTTAAAACCTTTAGAGCTCCCTGGTCACGTGTCTGCTGTTGTTTTGATGAAGACAGACTTCTTGCAGGCGGAGGAGGAGGAGGAGGAGGAGGAGGAGGAGGAGGAGGAGGAGGAGGAGGAGGAGGAGGAGGAGGAGGAGGAGGAGGAGGAGGAGGAGGAGGAGGAGGTTTAGAGTAGGCTGAAAAGTCTGGTGAGATGCGCAGCTTTTTTTGTGAATGAAAGTTGAGAAGGTGGTCTATTCTGTCTAGTCATGCGAAATCATTGCCGGTCGGGGCCGAGGTGCCACCGGACTTCCGGACCATGACCTCAGACAGCAGACTCATGGATGAGCCCGACATTGACGTGGAGGGACAGACGGATGGAAGTAATGCAGATTTGTCTGTGATCAATACTCATGTTGTTGAGCAAAGCGCTTCATCCCTCACACATGGAGCTCGTGAGGAGGAAGACTCTGCAGAGCGGCTGCAGGATAGTCCGGGCGAGAGATCCGCCCCGGCGAAGCCCCCATACTCATACATCGCTCTCATCACCATGGCCATCCTCCAGAGCCCGAAAAAGAGACTCACTCTGAGTGAGATATGTGATTTTATCAGCCAGCGCTTTGCGTATTATCGAGAGAGGTTCCCCGCATGGCAGAACTCTATCCGCCACAACTTGTCTCTGAATGACTGCTTTATCAAAATGCCCCGGGAGCCTGGGAACCCTGGCAAGGGGAATTACTGGACCCTGGACCCCATGTCGGCAGATATGTTTGAAAATGGGAGTTTTCTTCGGCGAAGGAAACGCTTCAAGAGGCCACATTTTAATTTAGGGACAATGAAGGACTCCAGGGTTAAGGAGAGCAGCCCCTTCTTTCCTCTCCTCGGGACGCACATGAGTCTCCAGGGGCAGGATTTGTACCAAGATCTGCGCTTAGGAAGTGGATTTAGTCCCCTCACGAGATCTAGCATCCCACCTGTTAGCAGCGTCATACCTGCACTCTCCTCGCTCCTCTCCAAGAATTTCCCCTCATGTATAACTTTTGAACATTTCGACCCGGGACGCTGCGCTGCTGTCCCATCTCTGGCTCCAAACTGGCTTCAAATCCCCCTGCACGGAATGATACCCACCTACCCTGTTTCTCAGCTTTCTAATTTCCCCACTCGGATCATCAAATTATCGTCTAATTTATGTTAATGTTTTGATTCCTGCCTGTCTCCTGTAGGCCTATATCCTTCCTCTCAGCATGAGAATATGGTACATTTTAAATAAATTCAGTTTTTATAGATGGCATGCAAACAGGCCTCCAACCATATTTTGTATGTGTTTTTCAAAAACCTATTGTAGGCCTACAGTCCTTAAATATGTTCTAAATAATTGAATTAACTAAGTCTGAGCAAATTTATAATTACACTTTCAAATAATATATGTAAATACAGCAACACATATTACCACATTTTACTTTTATTGACTTACAAATGCCTGGTTGCTGTCTCTTTTATTTGAACAAAATATAAATTGCAAGATGTGCTCGAAATACAAAATAATCAAATGAGGAAAAATTATTCCATATCCTTAAAATAATTCCACACAGAAACAAACGTGGCTTTACAGTTCATTTTTTGGGCAAACAAAACACTTAATTTAAACATCAGAATGTAAATACAAATATATATTATAAGAAATAGCAAACATATAAAAAGTAGAAAAGTATTATGCAAATATGGGAAATATAATATGCAGCTCTTTTCTGATAGGCCTTGGATTTGCTCAAACAGTAGGCCTACTTGTCTGCAAAGGGACTTGACATAATTTATTAATTAATTAATTCGGATGACATCGATTGATTTTTTGCTGTGGATGAAAAATATGACCACAAGTGAGCACATTTAATCTCACCGGCCCTTCTTGTTTATTGATTTTCTTAAGTGAATGATTTCCTCCACATTGTGTGCGAAAGAGGTCCAGCCGATAATTATAATTCAACACGTGCTGGTTTTGTCTTCATCTGCAGCCTATAAGTGGCATGAACGTATAGCATGTGTTCAAAATCAGGCGTCAAACTGTCCTTAATAATCGGATGTACGGTGCTGTTTTTATTGATTTGTAGAAATTTGAGCAGTACAAATTGCCCCTTCTTTTAGGAAGTTGGGTTCAGCTCGTTCAAGTAAAAAAACATGATATTTAGTCAAGTAGTCTATTGTTATCGTCTTAGCAGTAAAACGAACCCTCGTAAAATTACAGTATGCAGTATTTTAGAGATGTGTCATCACAATTTAACTTTTTTTTCTGTCTGTTCAACAAACATAAATCTCATATGTTGTGTTATTAGTTATTTGTAAATGAGTGAGGGACTGACTTTATGTCTAAAGGCTTGTGTCTCTGTGTCAGAGATTATAAGAGCATGTAAAACAATTGAGTGTGTGGTTGTGTAACACTAATTTAAACTGTGGACATCAACATTGGTAAGAACAAGCAGTAAATTAGAGGTTAGAAAATCAATCTGCAGTGTAATGATTATTAATACCCTGCAGTGTCTAATCTCATCAATGCAGAAAAGAAAAGCATTGCTCATTACAACAACATTACAATGCAATTGCTTCTATTTTCCAGTATTTCTATAACATGTGAAGGGGCAAGGCCAATTCATTCCAGCACATTAAAACATGTTTTACTGCTAAAAATAAATGTGTTAACTTACAATATTCAACTAAGATGTAGGTACCATTTTACTTTGATCTACTCCAGAAGAACACTGGTTTAATGTACTGTACGGAGAACATCTCTTCCAGGATGGTCTAAGTGTGCTGTGGCTCATCTGCAAACCGCTGCCTCCCACCGAGTTAACACTTGAGGGAGCAGTTTTCATTTCCTGGCACTCTTGGCCATATTTGAATTTGATTCAATTACAGTGCACATGCCAGCATGCCAGCCCTGCACACCTATTTGAAAAATAAATCATTACATCAGAGTGGGGCTCAATAAGGTCAAAAGAGTGAGTGTATTGCTATCGTAAAAGGAATCATTTGTTATAAAATAGTTTTTTAAAGTCAACCAACAATTCTTACAATCTCATAATTACATTGACATTGTTATATTTTTTTTAACCAATATAATTTATTAAAAACACAACTAACTTACATATGTTTTCTTTAACTGGCAAAAAACAGTCTCTCCCCTTTGTGTGTGTGTGTGTGTGTGTGTGTGTGTGTGTGTGTGTGTGTGTGTGTGTGTGTGTGTGTGTGTGTGTGTGTGTGTCGTGTGTGTGTGTGTGTGTGTGTGTGTGTGTGTGTGTGTGTGTGTGTGTCTCACTCACTGACTCCAGTGGCAATGCTTGTTGCAATACGCAATTTGATTGGCTAAGCAGCATCACATGAGATGATTAACAACATGTGCAGTTCATCTTTGAGTTTCCTGGGTAACCTAACTAGTTCTTTAAAGGCTACAAAAGCCATGATTCATCAAAATTGAATAGTTCTCAATCATTTACCGTGTATATGTCTCAGGGATGATGGAGAGGGAAGGCAGGTTAACAAGAGAGAGGTCTTTTGGTGATTTAGAAAAAAGGCAGGATACTGACCTCTCTCATCCCCCTCAAATAGCCTAGCTGGTAGACTAAACCACCTTGTCATCAACATTCATTAAATAGCAGGTTTTGCATCCTCTTCAAAAGTGGTCCCTGACTTATCATCCGTCATTACCTCAGACTTTTTTCTTTAATAATGTTTTAATCCCCAGTGTGGAAACCCTTGAATGTCTCCCAAAGGTAAGGCTTTTAATGAAGGGTTTTTCCTGATGGTTGAATTATTACAGATTACTTCTTTTCTACTTCTTTTCTTATTTCCCCTGATCCTCCTCCCGAGCAACCAAGTTGAATTCACTATTAAAAGGTAGTCATATATCAGAGGCCATCGTTTGGCACCTCTCCTCGAGGGCTCTGGTTTTGCCTGGAGGTCATCATTATTCCCCTGGAGTATGTTGTTCTTTGCTTGGACTAAGTTATTATTCTCCTGAAGTACTTGTTGTCTGTAGATGCTGGAGACATTTTGGAAACGGGGCCGAAGAGGTTCAAGGTTCCAGTTGTTGACCTCTTTTGCATACATTATTTACCTGCAGATCTCTGTTGTTTTTCTAAGGTTCTCTTTTTTTTACTGGAAGAGGCTTGTTATCATACTATAGGCGCCCGTATTCCAATTTTATTTGTATCTATTTTGAGATATGCATTCCTCCATAGGAGCATATTTTGTTCAGGCAGACTCCTGAAGTGGCAGATTGGCATCAGCTGCTTTATTCATGCATCCCTAAAAGTGGATTATATATTTGTTGTTTGGCTACCAGCTCACTATATCGTGAAGTCATTGTTTTCTCTACAGTGCCTAAAGATCAGGCAATAAAGCAGGACAAATATGTTATCCTGTATCTTGCAAGTACATGCATATTTTTCAATAGTTCTGAACAGAGTCACAGATGTTTAAATGACCGCAAACCAACTACCACATACAGTAAAACACAATTGTTTTCCTACGTTACTGTTTATCAATTGAATACAGGAAACAGAAGTTTTCTTTGATTCAGGATTTTCCCTTCTCTGATAAGTAAACCAACTGTAAAGGTTTTGTTTTTTCATCATGAATACCTTGACATTTGATTCATAGTTTTCTGGGAGGTTAGCATATTCATTATGCCAGGAGTTATGCATCAAGCTCAACATCACTCAGTGCTGCTCAAAGTGTGGTCCGCGGACCACTGGTGGTCCGTGAGCGCCCCCTAGTGGTCCGTGAGTATATTGGTAACATTTCACATTTGAAATAAATAAATAAATTTAAGTTTTCCGCACTCTCGCGGGAATATCTCTCCGCAATGGAGCGAGCTTAAATTTAACTTTCGATTGCATGATATAGCCCAGATAAACACCTTCATCACACATGTGGCCACCTGTTTGTACCATTTTCAGGCGATTTGTAAAAAACGATGTGTTTTTGGATATTTGTGGAATTAGGTGGTCCGCGAGTGTTTTTTTATTGGTTAAGTGGTCCTTGGTATGAAAAAGTTTGAGAAACACTGCTCAAGCTCAATACCACAAAAACTTTAGTTTTCCAAATAGCTCAGATTAATACGTTATTCCCAAGTCTATCTCTACAATTACAGTCAGTTTTAAGAAAACTTATTACAGGATTTTTCTTTTTTACTTGGAGGAATGCCAGGAAAGCATGTTTACTTTAGAAATTGATCATCCCATTGAATGCATATATCGTTGTCATAGGTCATTACAAACATTTACTACAATTAAAAATGGAACATCAGGCTGGATGAATGTCAACAAACCTACTGCATAACAGGCAAAACATGAAAAATAGAGAAGAAATTAAAAGGCAAAATTAGTAGGATTTAAGAGCAGCAACATAATATGTCAATAAGCAAAAGTTAGAAAAACCAATGCGTATATTTCCTGACCTTTTTCTTGACCTAAAAGTACATATGGTCTAATCCAAGTTAAAATCACCAAATCAATTAGGAATCAAACCAGAGGTTACAAATCCCAGACTTTCAAAATGTATTTCTAAAGAAGACAACGTAAGTGGAAATGCCCATATAGAAAAAGCAGTATAGGAACCAATTTTCTTTGAAATGTTTGCCTGTTCTGCAAAACTTGTTCCCATTTCTTTGAACAGATTCAACTTTGTTTTGTCAGCACTACTCAGTTTACTGACACTAAAGCTTTTCAACGGCTTCCTTTAGCTGAGTATGTGCCTTATCAGAGGCAGAAAAATACATGATGGCATTATCTGCATAAAATGGATAACATTATTACAGAAAAATAACAAATAAAACACTTATAAGGATATTTCTTTGTCAAAATGTATGTTTTATTAGTGGAAATAATTGACACAAAGTGGTAAATGTAAATAAAGGTCATACATGATAGATTTGATTGATGTGAATCATTAATACATTACATTTCATTTAACTGACGCTTTTATCCAAAGCGACTTACAATAAGTGCAATAAAGCATAAAGATACAAACAAAACAACGAGACAGCGGGTATATTCGCTTCAAATAAGCCAAACTATTGTGAGTGCTGGTGGATTAGTTTGTAATGGGCTAAACCCTTTAAGTGCTAATACTTTTTAGAGGTTATTAGGCATGTTAACTTTCTGCTATCCTGATACAACACATTTTATATTCAGAAGTTATGAATGGGATTTCAGTGCAATATAATTACACAACAGGCAGTTTGTTTTACCCTTCAATGGCCTGCTTGACATCATTTAAACATCTCAATGGCAATCTGTTCAGTGTAGTTCTCCTCTCCGCACTCCATAAGACATGCAAACCAACCCTCATCAATGTAAGCCAGGTCTGAGTAACCACTGGGTCCACGGTTAATGACCCAGGGAGCGCTTTATACACTTGGGTCTTGTGGAGATTTATTCACATACACTCCTAAATTCAATCTTTCGGATTTATGACTCGGATGGGTGAAGAGCAGCCACTTGTTTTGGTTCTGGCTCGATTCCCCCCCTGCAATGTCATCTTGATCTGGACATGAGACAACACCTGTTTCTACAAGATTTCCACCACCACTCAGCTTGGAAAAAACCTCTCCTTTGTTATGACAGCTCTGTTCTTCACGATAACTTCCCTTAGTGCATGCATTGCAGTAGATAACACTTTCCCCCCTATCATCAGCAAACTCTGCCATTTGACATTCAAGTGACTCATTTTCAAGCATTGTGCCAAATGTCCATGTTTCACCCTCATCGTCACTATACAGGGAGACTGCATGTAGGGCAGGGAGTGAGCCAGAGCTAGAAACATAAGCATGAACTGGGACGATTAATCTTCCACTCTCTGTTTGAAGACCATGGCCTGGCCCAACAGCAAATGTGGCCCACTGTTGGACTTCATCCAGCGAGTCAGTCAAATCCGTCACGTCGCTCCAACTTTGACCATTATCTGTAGTCTTAACATAGCAGAGACGAGCTTTGTTGGTGGCATTATCTATCTGCCACTGCTCTATGCATGTGTGTTTCACACGGATGAAAAACAGGAAGAGTGTTTTGTTGGTCTTCTCATAAAGAGGGCACGGGTTCATAGGACGGTATCCAACAGGACATTTCTCGATCAATGTTTTCTGCTCTGACCACTGAAAGAGATATTACCCAAAGGTTACAAATAATGAACATAGCATGGATGAGTTAAAAAAAGAACCGTCACAATGGATATACCAGGAAAACAGTTGCTTGGCATAATTACCTCGATTGTCACTTCATGGTTTTCATCATTCTTCACCTTTGCTGTGCACGTTTTCAAATAAGGGAGGAGCTTTTAAACACAGGTCTGTTGAGTGATAAGTGGGGGTTGATATTTTTGTATTGATTCTCTAAGAAAGCAGAAGAAAGTCCAGAAAAGAACAGAGAATGGGATAAACCAATAGGGGGGAATCTACTTGTGCATATAACAGGAAATAATGAGGAACAGATTTATCAGTTTTAGCCAGAATCTTTTTTTCTCTTCATAAACATGAATGTTGTATACTATGAATTTGAAGAGGAGTAAACATGTACTGTTATTCAAAAAAGGCATTATATCTGGTCCAAATGTTTTGCCTATTCACACATGCTGATTTGCAAATTGATAATTGGAGTCATAGTATAAACTTTGCTTTTGCCTTTATGAATAATACATGTATGTATCTTAGATGGACAACTTAAAAACAACAACATTGAAGGCAGTTGCCCTGCACTGGATGAAAGAAAAATGGAAATGTGTAGAATCTGGAGTGCCATACAATGGTGTGCTGCACCATGTCCCAGCCTTCAGCCCATAAATATCACAAATATCCCCCTTTCCTCTTCTCCTCCCACTTCCCTGCTTCTCCTCCCCTTATAACCGCTCCACCCTGCTGCTCAGTATCCAGTGCTGCCTTCAGTGCTAATAAAAAAGCTGACAGGTGCTGGAGACCCAAGCCAGGGAAACAAGAGTTGGAGGGATCATTAATGAGCTCTGACTTGATAACTTTTGAATATTTCTGGATCAAACCAAGCTAATCTTTCCAAGTACGAACACATCAAAAACTGCCATTAAATTCAAACTGACTGTTTAAACAGTTTTATGCTTTGGCAGACAAAAGGGGGAGACCTGAATCAGCGAAACACCAACAGCTGTGAAGTGTTTTGAATGTGTTTGCAACAAATGCATTTCTCAGACCTCACATTATGGGTAGCGGGACAGAGTTGGACGGTTCTGTGTCCGCTGCAGTTGGGACGAGTTAGAATTATTGGGATGACTTGGAGTTTTTTTTTATGTTGGGTGTTGTGTTGATAAGCCTCCCATCTGAGCATGCAGCTAAGGACCACCCTAGTTGACTCAACTCTCATAAAAGCTCACTATACCCTCACCCACACTCGGTCGTCCCCCCCGCTCATGAACTTCTGTTTTCTTCTTTGGCTGCCATGTTCTCTTTTTTCAGTTCTTTTGTGTTCATCATGCTGGTGTTCATGAATGTTGTGCTCCATGAAAAAAATCTGTTTAATAGATATTACATGTAATGGATTTGTTGGTGATTGTAGAAAATGAAAGGCTTTAGCATCTTGGCACCAAGCACAGCTCAGCAGTTGGGAGTTACAATATTAACTCAGAGGGGTGGGGTATAGGATGGGTTTATGAGATGCCATTTGAAAAGCAGTTCTCTAGGGTCATGCAAAAGAAGAGGGACCAGGGCACTAACAATCAATTTATATCACCAATATCAAAAGGGTGCAAGGGGCAAACATCATTAAGTGGGAAGAGGAGGACATCTGAGTGTAGCTGAGGTCCTTACACTGGCTTCCTGTGTGTCAAATAATTGATTTTAAAATACTGCTGCTGGTTTATAAAGCATTGAATGGTTTAGGGCCACATTACATTGCTGATCTCCTGCTGAATTATGGACCATCCAGATCTCTCAGGTCTTCAGGGACTGGTCAGCTTTCTGTCCCCAGAGTCAGAACTAAACATGGAAAAGCAGCGTTTTGTTATTCTGCTCCAAACATCTGGAACAAACTACCAGAAACCTGCAGGTCCTGCAACTCGTACTCTTAAATCCAGGCTGAAGACTTTTCTTTTTGCCGCTGCTTTTAATTGAACTATTCATATCTTACACTGCACTGTAACTTTTATTCATGTATTTTATACCCGTGCTATTCTATATTAGCTTGTTTTATGATTATTTTATTATCTTTGCTTTATAATGACTGTTCTTAAAAGCCATTTCATAATGTGTTTCAGCTGCATCATTTCTTAATGCTCTTAATGTCTTTCATTTTTGTTAAGCACTTTGAATTGCCTGGTGTTGAAAGGGTCTGTATAAATAAACTTGCTTGGGCAAGCTGGCAGGCTTTGATTCATTTCATCATGTCTCAATCATGTCACTCTATATTTAGTTGTGTTACATCTTCTTTCACATAAAGTCTCATCAGTTAATTCCAAATGAATCATTTTCTTTCCTCAAGATTTTTTTTGGAGTCTTCTCTAGATTTGTAGCTTTTCATGATCCCTTGATTTTTGCTCTTACAGGCATTGTCCGCAGTAAGACCTTGTAAAGACAGGTGTGCAGCTTTCCAATTCATGCCCAATGAAAGAGTGTAACAGGCAGACACAAATCAAAGTGAAGAGGGATAATTAACATAAATAGGAGGCACCTTTTTGACTGTTTCAATAGGTTTAGTTGTATGGGGGCATCATTTTAGGAGATGGGTAGCACAAGGTGAACCTGCAGTTGCCCACTGCTAATCCAGCATTGGTTATCAGGATATTTATTAAACATTCTCAAGGTTTACAAAGCAGTATCGTAAAACCAAACATTCCAACCATCTTTGAGTGCTAATATGGGTCTGGGCTCATATTTAGACTTTTATACTACAAAAACTAAAACGTTGACTTTAATTAAATGTATTATGTCAACAGATTGCACATAACTGTAGGTTAGTTGAAAGCAACAATATTACGTTTTAATAAAAAAAGATTAGGTTCAACTTAATATTATTGCTTTTAACTTACCTAATATAGTTATGTTACATTTGTTTACATAATACATTTAACTAAAGCCAACGTTTCAGTTTTTTCAGTGTACTCCCCTTAACTGCACGTCTCGTAAACCGACTGTAATTGCTTTCTGTACCATAGTAAATTGTTGATCCAGCTAAAGGTCAACATAACGTTGACATCAGAACACAGGAACAAATGTGTGGAACCAATCTTCAATAAATTCCAAACTTATTGACAACCTGTTACAGACATAAGTGAACATTCAGGCCCGAGTCGTCTGTGCAAGCTCAGCGCAGCCCCCTTTGAACCATAATCCCCCAAAACACTCACTCACACAGCACAAGGCCTCAGTGGGCAGTATCACAACCACACACAATGCTAGGATTCACTTCAAAAACAACAAAGACACGAAAGAAAGAATATGCACATGTGCGGAGAAGAATACTCTTTCATAAAACCAAATTGAAAGATATGAAACAATTATGTCCCGACATATGGATGCCAGATTTGTAGTAGATTTCCAAATAATACAGATAACACGTCCTGTTTTTTAGAAAGGAAGGAGGAATGGGAGGGGAATAACAATGTGAGGAACTGCTGGTGACAGGCAGGTGGAACACACACTAAATGCTGAACAAATGTTTTTTCATTCAGATTTTCTGCCAAAGCAAACGCGTAATAAAACGACACTAACACTGTTCTCAAAATGCATTATTATACAAACATTTTCTTGCAATGTTTATAGTTATGAATGGTGGCAGTGTCATGTTTCAAATGTGTCCTGCAGGAATCATAGCATTCTACTGTTTAGGTCTTAACTGTGGTTTTTTGTTTTGAGTAGAGAAACATGTAGAAAATCTCGTGCTGCAAATAGGTCAAATATGTAATAATGATGTTGTTCACTTTAATTCCATTATTAGGAACGTATTGTTCTTCCATAACCAAGATGTACGCTATGTAGCTGGTGATTGCTTTTTATATTCAAAATGTGAGCAATGTGAAATAGATAGTGATGATATTTTTGAGAATTATCACCTGAATCTGCAGCTCCTCTCTGCTGTTGAGATTGAGCTCTGAAAACCCACTGTGCACTACAAGCTCAGCACCAAGCAGCACACAGACACAGATGCAGTGGAAAAAAGTGGAGCATTAAGCAGCTAAAGAGACAGATATTTTCCTCAGGAGTTTTAAAGACAATAAAAAAGCACTAAAATAAATGTTATGTCATTGTAGGCCTTCAACAAAAGCTTTTAGTGATTTAAGTGACCAGCAGCAATTAAGAGTTCATCTCATTCATAGTGTATATTATGTACAGTATGCATCTAACGCTTGAACTATTACATTTAGCTTAAACAATGCAACAAAACAAATGAATATTACATTAAACATGACTCCGATGAATGATAATGTTCCTGTATGTGTAAAATAAGTGACCCTTTGCAAGTTCTCCTATTAACTCATGAAAATATATACTGGCCAACAAAAAAACTAAAAAACTGATCGGAGCTTTACCATTTATCCTGTGAATCACAAATGTACTGATTTACTGTAAGAGTTGATGCTTTGAGACATCCTGCAGGTTTAAACCTTCCACCACATTGTGCACTATATTATGTAAAAGCCACACACATACACAAAGGCTTCTCATATCGGTAAGTTCTTCTCTATTCGCTGTCCAAGTAATTACACAACATTGAGCTTTTAAAGAAATTCAGCCACTTTAACTTCCAGAATTTATTGCTCTATAACTTTTGTGCTAAAGTACGTTTCACAGCTAGGCTTCGAAAGAAAAACAACTTTAACAGAGCGAGGCGGGATACAAATCTAATAGCACCCAATAACCAGAACATGATAGAAAAAAGCCTGTAATAGCTCCAGATAACACCAAAGGCATGGATTGAGGACTCAGCTATCCAAGTGTGTTTGCCTTTTGGGTTCGCTGGTTTAACTTTCAGAGGGGGAGCTCTGGGGCAAAGTGAGCCAGTGGGTAGAAATATGAAGGATCAGGGAAAGGCACTGTATGAAAGGGATATTTATTTTAATGTAAACATGATATACACAAACCAAATCAAGTGTGTTTTTTTACTGTATAGTGTTCTATGGACAGGAACTTGTAAATTAAGATTGTTTTTTTGTAATTTAAGGGAGGGCAATGTCATGTTGTGTAATAAGCCACATCTTTATCCTGTTAAAGTTTATTAAGTTGGCCCCAGCTTTCATCCAGAGTTTATAGGCCTTCAACATGGCTAAATCCCAGAGGTAGGACTTGTTGTACAGGACACACCCACTGTTAGCTATGTAAACAGCTGACACACACACGCACCCACGCACACACACACACACACACACACACACACACACACACACACACACACACACACACACACACACACACACACACACACACACACACACTGAGAAAGGCTAAACCATATCAAAGAATACATTCATTAACTACATTATCTCATTTAGCTGTAGCTTTTATAAACAACAAAAAAGACGTATTGTTCAGTCGTTGAACTAGGGACCCTGCGGTCATGAGTCAACTGCTTTCCAGCTGAGCCACAGCACACACACTAAAGCTCCCTGAAAACACTGCAAGATATGTATTCCTGTATTTATTCATGTTTTTATTGATGTTTTTATTCCTACATTTATTTATGCTTGTATCTATTTATACTTATGACATGTTCCGACCTCTAGTGAGGGTCTGAGCTCTTTTGATTCCATCGTGTCACCGGGCCCGGATACAGGAGGGGTAATATGGTTCTTGTTATACATCCATGGGTATTATGAGCGTTGTGGTTCAACCAGGGCTCGAGCTTAAGGACGTCCCGTCGTCGAAAAAAATAGTGTCGGGGAGGATAAAAAATAATTTTGGGACGAGAGTTAAAATAAAAATACCCTGCTAACTCTACTACAAACGGCAATGAAAATGAAACCGACTGCACGTTTTGTGTAGCACACAGTTATTAAACCTCCTTGTCAACATAAACACACGCCCAAAACATTTAGCAACCCGCGAAATACACACACATGTAGCTACAGCTGTGCCGCTGGCTGTCAGCCAGCCGCCCAGCTGGCTGTGCCCGTGAATTCCTGGCCCGCAAATTCGCGGGTCTAGCTATGTACTGAGTGAGTGTGTGTATTTCGCGGGCTGAGTGATGTACAATGACAATGGCATCCCGTGGAGGAATTCTGAAATGTTTTACCGTTACATCACAAAAACGCACAGCAGAACCAGACCCTGGAGCGCCGGCCTCTTTATTTACTTACTCCTCTTCATCCCCTATGGGTAATAAGCAGGGGCGGCGCCAGGGGGGAGCTAGGGGGTGCTGAAGCACCCCCCAGGATTGCCAAAGCACCCCCTAAGCACCCCCAAGAAATATGTTTGTTTTTAAAAAGAAATTATTATTATTATTATTAAATTAGAAAAATTATTGATTACATCAATGCATATGTGAAACAAACACATTTTTTTACCAAAAACATAAAGCCAACACAGGTGATATGATTAGGCCAATGGCCAGCACCCATTCGACTTTTGACCTACTCATAGGCTAAATTACTTTGTGACACTTGAGTGACTTCCTGTTAGCTAGAGCGCCAAATGATTTGCTAACAGCAATGTGAAAGATGGATCGTTTTTTAGTCCTTAAAAGTCCACGTGTGGACACTCAATCAAAACCACCTGTTCTGAGTACAAGTAGCTTCTCTGGTCTCTGTGTTTCATTCAAGCTCTGCTCTGTGTGTGTGTGGCACGAGCCATTTTGTGTGCGTGTGTGCGCGAGCGAGAGAGCTCGCCTCGCGCACCGGTGGGTATCTACTGGAGATCGTTGTGGTTAGCATCTGGTGCTAGCTAGCCAAGCTAACGGGTATAAGGAGCTTTTTCAACAACAAGGTGGAGGGAGAACTCTCTCCTGTCAGACGGAGAGTCTCAGATAACCTCAGCTCAGGTGAAGTAAAGGACTCTCAGTGTTTAGATAGTTAACTTTAGTCTTGTTATCTCAGTGGGTCTCAAACGATTAGTTTTAAAAGGGTGTGTGATTTGTAAAATGTCTATGAAGAAATAGAAAATCTGTTTACAGTTCTGTTTCATATGGGTGTTGAGAGATGTATCCATAGATCTCTTAATGTTGCTCTCAAAGTGCACCAGATTGATGCTTTTAACTTCAATATTTAAAAAGATCTTCCCGGGGGAGCATGCCCCCGGACCCCACTAGAGGAGGTGAGGTCCACCCCCCACTTGTAAAAATAGCACTTTACCCCTGCTTACACCTATATGCCGTGAGCTGATTATCGAGCCTTCATTGTAACAGTCGCGGGTGCACTGTGTGTGCGTGTGGGGAGTGTTGCATTAGAAAATTAAACTGTAGCGCTGGTGCATTAATGGGAAACCCTTAATGTTTGAGCACCCTCTATGAAACGTCAAGCTACCCCACAGCACCCCCTATAGAAAATCTCTGGCGCCGCCACTGGTAATAAGGCTGAGAAGAGAACCCTCCATCGTATTTAGTCCTTAGCAATATGATGCGCCTCTCCCCATGTAGGGATGGGTACCGAGCCCCGGGCCGGAATTATTAAAGACAGTGGTAACGTTAAGCTCCGACGTTATCGGACTTTTTAACGGTACTGGAGACATTTAAAAAATATATGTCATATGTATTATTGCTACATACAGTACACATTATATCGCAGTTTTAGTTTCGCCAACTCCGTTTCTAATATGCAATAAGACTACAACATGCGTCTATGATGTATTTTCGAGCTTTCCAATCCAGACGAGATCTCTCTCTCCCGTCTGTGTGCGAGGGGGCGGGGCAGTTTGTAAAGGTCTCCTGACTGACAGACTGTCATCCTGGTTAGTGGTTACTCTGGGTTCTGTCTTCAGGACAGTATTGGATTTTTTTTGTTAATTGGATGGGACTTGATTGGATTCAATATTAGAGTAATTTTCTCGTTTGTGTGTTTGTTTAAATATATGTGGCCTTTGTTTATGTGATTGAATGATTTACTCAAATAAAAAGGTTGATGAATTATCATCTAATGATTTGTATGATGTTTTATTCATGTTAAAGGTCACTTTGAATGATTTTAACTACACTGTAAGCCCGGATAAGTTGAATCTACTTTAAAAAAAAGCGTAAAGTGGTTGCCTTTAAACATTTAAGTAAAGCATTATGAAAACTTGAGTAAATTAAACTTAAATTAATCAAGGACTTTAATTGTTATTTGAAGTACAATCCACTTCATGTCAAGTTGATTTTACTTACATTTTTAAGTCAACCACTTTCTATTTTTTTAAGTAACGCATTAGGAAAACTTGAGTGAATTTAACTTAAATTATTCAAGGACTGGAATTGTTATTTGAAGTACAATGCACTTCATGTGAAGTTGATTTTACTTAAAATATTGTGTAATATCAATTGTTTTTTTCCAATTATTTAACTTAGAATTTTTAGTTGAAAGTGGTTACATTTCGTATTTATATTTGTTATTCCGTCAACTACAAAAAAGAAAAAAGACACAAAAATAAAGTTTTACCTTTTATTAAAACTTGAGTGTTTCATTTGGATACAATGAAATTGAGCTTCCTATACAAACTGTGGCAAAAATATTGTACCATACATTTTCCTGAGAACATTTTTCACATGAAACAATAGCAATCTCTCTATATATATATATATATATATATATATATATAAAGATATAGTTATATCTATAATATATATAGATCTATATATTTATGTAGAGCTCTGAAAAAATTAAGAGACCTCTGTAAAATTATCAGTTTCTCTCGTTTTACTATTGGTAAAAACTGGATTAACATTTGTGTTTTATTCTATAAATTAATGACTGACAACATTTATCCCAAACTCCAAATATTCTCATTTAGAGCGTTTATTTACAAAAAATACCAAATGTTCAAAGTAACCAAAAAAGATGGAGTGTTTTCAGACCTCGAATAGTGCAAAGAAAACAATTTAAAATTCATTTTTCAACAACACAATACTAATGTTTTAACATAGGAAGGGCTCAGGAATCAATAATTGGTGGAATAACCCAGATTTTCAATCACAGCTTTCATGCGTCTTGGCTGCTCTGCAACACCTTTCACATTGCTGTTTGAGTTTGTGTGCCAGGAGAGACATAAAGTCACCCAGCAACAATGTGACAGACTGGTGGCGAGCAACCAAGACGCATTGAAAGCTGTTATTGAAACATCTGGGTTATTCCACCAAATATTGATTTCTGAACTCTTCCTAAGTTCAAACATTAGTATTGTGTTGTTTAATAATGAAGAACTTGTTTTCTTTGAAAACACAGCATTTTCTCTGTTATTCTGACCATTTTCTCTGTTTTCTGCAAATAAATGCTCTAAATGACTTTTGGGAGAGATGTTGTCAGTAGTTTATAGAATAAAACACAAATGGAAATGCAAACAAGCTTAATAGGTCAAACAGTGCAAACATGCAACAACAACAAAATGCAATATGGAAGCCTAAATACTTGCCATATGTAACAGTAGCCAACTTTTCAGAACCCCGTTTCACAATGTAAGCTGATTTTTCAAAGTCTGAATTTTGGGTGCCAGCTCAACTTTACCAAGTTTTAATATCACCTGCTGAACAAAGTGGAAAGTGTTTTTCATGCACTCCAGTTGCAGGGCATAAATGAGTCTGAACAGGACACAGAAGGCCTGAGGCAGGTTAGCCGGTCCATCCATCACCACATTCCCCTCCAAGACGATTGCCACACTGGATAGGTTGAGCTGAGGATTTTCTTCGACACAGAGGATTCCCAGTGGAGTTTGACTGTACACCTCCTTATCAGCCGCATCCTAACAGAGAAATAAAGAGTGACATATAATTCTACATCGTCCACCAAAAAGTAGCTTCCACTGTTTATAATGAAAAGCATCATACATATTTAAAAAACATATCATATTTCATTTATATTGTTGGTGAATTAGTTAAAGACAATATATATAAGGAATAGTGTAAGTTAAATTTAGTTCCGTATTTTTTTAAACTGAATAATGTCCCGGGTCAATTTCACCCAAAAATTACCAAAGGGTGCAAAATGTGAACATAACACAAGGGTTAAAGTCACTTACGGTGCAGGTCTTGAAGAAGGCAGAAGGCTCATCCCCCAAGATGATTGGCAGTCCCCGAACACAAAGGCATCTGTTGGCTCAGTGGTCTGGAATATAGTGGAGATAACAAAGAATGGTCATATATTCATCAAATACATTCTACAAACTCTACACAATTACTTTATTGCAAATATACTTGAAAGTAAAGGAGAGGACAAAAGGAGATGACATGATGGGAGAGAATAGAAAAGGGAGAGAACATAATTTCTTCTTGACCAAAGAATAGAATAGGAAACAAAACAAGAGAGCAAAGCAAAATGAACAAGGGAAAAGAGGAAACAATGACACATGAAGAGATGCAATTAAATTGACAGGACAAGAGCAGCAAATGAGAGAAAAGAAGAGATGAGAAGGAAGTCAAAGGGACAGAAGAGGAACAAGGAGAGAGGAAATAGATTGGGTAGACAGATGTTAAGTAAACCCACCTTTGTCTGACTTAAAAGCTCAGACAGAAATTGGCCAGTGACACCCTTCTTCCTGAAGAGGTCCATCAGGCTCGGAGAGAAACGGTCAAGTGCATCGAAGAAGTTGTCCTTGAGATTTTTCCCCACCACTCTGTTGAACTCGCAATAAACCTGAAACACAAAAGAGAACAAACCATGTAAAACTGTCAAATAAAATCATCCTTGGTGAAACAAATAAGTGCATTTTTTTTATTTAGACAGCTTTTGCTTGCTTCACCATCTGATTTTTCAAGATGCCTCTGTGCACTTCTCACAGTAATATCTTAATAAAATCAGATATTTAAGTAGGTATGAGGATATAACTACACTACACTACAAACAAACCTGGGGAGGTTTCAGCCTGGAACCTCCACCCCGCTGCGGGACCCGTGGTGGGACCCCCGAGTCAGACGATGCGTCTTGGTCATGCTTCATATCGGCCCGGCCCGGGAAGAGACACGCAGCACACCCTCGCGGCCATCAGAGTCGAACCCGCAGTTCGGAGGAACCGACCGCCAGGACACCGGCACTAGGCCGGTGGAGGCCCTCCGATGGTGGGTCGCGTTTGCCATTCTATCAGTGAGAAGAGAGGACAAAAAAGCAACAAGAATTGTCAAAATCTGTTAATATATGGATGAGTGGTAGGGGTGGGGTGGGGGGGGGGGGGGAAACGGCTGGACACAGGCCGTGGGGGGACACCCGAGACCGGGCTATGTCCCCGTTAGAAGGAACCAGGTGAAATAGCCAAAAAAAGAAAAATTAATAAAACCGGGGAAAATAGGGGTAAAAGTGACAAAAAGTGTCCGAAAATAGGCACTCGTGAGGCGGGCAGAGTCCCCTGTTAACTCCCGTTACATTCCTCCATGGTTTGAGCGAAAAATGGCTAAGTCAACTATTATGAGAACCAGGATGAGGGATTCAAAAGGCCTGCCCAAGGCCGACCCAAAGTGCATGGTGAGCGGACTCATCACCTCCGTGAGAGTGGAGGTGTCCTGAGAGTGGAACCTGCAGGCAGACCCCTCTCAGGCTGACAGGCAGGTAGGCCATCCAGCTATTTTAGCCGGGCCGGCTAAAATGATTGGTCGTGCTTTTTACAGTGCTACGGCTTCCACAGATGAACATTTTGTATGTATTTATTGTCAAAGCATTTCATATATTCATTGCTATCGGGATGTTAAGAGCATTCCATGGAATATAACAATAAGTGTTTCTGAAATAAATTACATACCCCACCTTTAAGGGACGTTAATCAACAACATCTGATAACGTGGTTGCTAATGTTAGCTAAATGGCGTCTCACCTGATGTAGTAGCACAAAGCAGCCGTCCAAGCGCCACCCTCCTCTCCCTATGATGGAAGCCTGAGACAGCCTGTGGCTGGGTTCGAGCGTCCGGCGTTCAATGTGGGGTGGTGTCCGACTCACACGACTAAAAGAAAGGTGACAAAAACAGCAACTGGGTGAAAAAAAATCTACGTCTTTCAGTGAACACGAACAAGTAAAAAAGGTACAGCACTATCTGTTTAAAACTACAGCACTATCTGTTTAAAACTATCTGCACCTCGTAGCCTACTATCGCTCAGTAAAAGTTAACAAAAGCGAGGGAAACACACATTGCCTGACTGCAGTAGCGTAGAAGTGCTGCAGTTAAGTGACGTAAATCAACTGAAAACTTAATGCGGTCGCTATTAAGATCTAGATTGATTGATTGATTGATTGAAAAGTTTATTAACAGCTTGTATATTGGGTACAGTACAGTACAGCTCAAAACATACAATTGTTAAGGGGATGCAGACCAGAGAAAGACTTTCGTCTTGTTTACATCAGGGTCCCCCATTTCCAATTCATCATATCATTTAAGACATATAAGACATATTTGACATACAGATGGCTTGTTTACAATTTTCATTTTAGATTTCAGGGCTCGACATTAAGGACTGCCCGATGGCCCGGGGCCATCTAGTATTTAGCTCGGGCAATGAAGCCTCACCTGCTGGTTGCCCGATCGGCAATCTATTGTGCCAGTATCATGCAGCTCGCGGATCCAGTAATGAGTGACCCGACAGTAAAACTAAACATATCTATAACTAGTTTAGGTAGTTTGAGAGGTAATTAAAATAGCTACGTGTGATATTCTAACCTGAAGTGTGTGTTTTGTCCGCTCACCGCTGCATGTGATCATGCAGAGCTGCGTGTTGACTCGTCAGCAGCAGCTGATCTCTCTCTCCCGTCAGATTACACTTCACTCGCGTTTATGTCCATATCGATCAGATCCAGCTAGTTCTAGCTAATGATATGACTACCTGCTTATTAAAAGACACCTAAACAATAAGTGTCGCTATGCAACCGGGTGAGGCCACAAAGTATAGCGCAGCATTATGTATTTGTTTACATGCCCACCGGAACCCCGAGGCATTACCAACAGATCAACGCACAATCAACCCACACAGGACATCTCTTTCTCCACATTAAGTGTTAGACATTAGAATTGACTATTCTTGTCTGTCACATACTCTTCTTGTCTGTCACATAAGTGGCGCAACTGAAGCGGTATTGCGCTAAAGGGAAATTATTTTGACCGAAGAGATTTAGATTTGCCGGCTAATGGGAACTATGACGTCACCATTTTGTGTGCTTCGCGGATTCGCTCGGCTCCTCTCGACTGCTGCTCGGGTCTGCTCGGTCAGCTTCCGGATGAGGAGGCATTCGTTGGACCAACTTACAGTAGATAACATTACAAACATTTTTAACAGGGGCCATACTAGTGTAAATAATGTTTGTTTTGGCAGTTATAACTGAATGTAATGTTTTCTACTTTTTTACATCTGGGAAGGCATTTGCCTTCATCAGATGGAAAGTGTCTTGACCAACAACTTAAGTATTTCTTATAGCTATGCAGGGCATGCAAGCGAGCAAACACAAACAAGAACAAACAAACAAGTGAAATGAAGAATAAAATTGAAATGGTACAATACAATATTGTGGTGGTTCATCTTGTAATTCAGTCTAGAGAACCAGACAGCATCTAAGACCTGCAAAAATCTAAATGTTCTAGGGGGAGGCCCCCCTAACCCTTTGTGCGTCATTTCGTCCGCGCGCATTTTTCAGGGCAATCTCCATTGGGCTCAGGGCCATCTGTAAATTAGCTTAGACGGCCCACAGGGCCATCTCCCAAAATCCTTAATGTCATGCACTGGATTTCGTTCTAATACATCCTAACCGGACATTTAAGACATACCAAGTCTACAGATATACAGTTAGTAACAGAGTCTAAAATGCGAGTATATACACATAGGTGGGAGATATGGGGGGGGGGGGGGGGGGGGGGGGGGGGAAGCTGTCCATTGAACGACAGGTTGAGATTTGTACCATTACCGGGGCCAGTTTTGCAATGCTCTCCCCCGAAGGTGCTCTTTAAGAGAGGTTTTGAAGGTAAGTATAGTTTTACTTTCCTTTACAGTTGTGGGAAGAGCGTTCCACCTTGATGTGGCACGCCCTCCGCGGGCTCCATGATCACACTGCGGGGATCCCCCCCACCCTAATGACCACCTAGCAGCACATTATACCGCTTATTACAAGGCTACATACTAAAAAAACAAACAAATTATTCATAATATCGTTTTTAAAATGATTTAATTGACTTAAAAATGATCGTAATGCTTCCGCCAAAATAAAAAGTCCGTTCCACGGCGCACCAACGAATGGAACTTTAATTCAGAAAATAAAAGGCAGCATTATTCGAATGTATCTGTAACTGTCACAGTCTGTTCACATTTTATTTTCCTCTAACAAGTACTTAAACAATGCGAGAGAAGCCCACACCGTGTTCCCGCCAGTTGATACTTCCTGTGGCTGTGTTACACCCAAAAGTACGAGAATTCAACCAAGCCGTTAGCGAAATCACTCACCAGATTCAGTAGATAAGGCAGCCGTGCAGTGTCCTTCATTTGGAAGCGTAGACAGCGCGGTGGAAGGGTGCAAGTCCGTCGTTCAAAGTGGGGTTGCGTCCGACTGAGAAATTGCGAGCTGGAAACGTGGCTGCGGCACATTAAAAGATCCTTCTCTTTCCCATAATGCATTGCGAACATGACTAAAACTTCATAATGTGAAGTTCTTCACTTAAAATTATT